ATCGCATCGCGAACGTGTCGTAGGATACTCAGTCTGGTAGACAAGAAGTCATCGACTTTTTTGCGGATGGTGAGGGGGCTACATTAGCTAGCCGTTCGGCTATTCCTCCCCCACCAAGCTCTGAGCCATGGGATGGCGGCGTCAGTGGGACGCGAGGGTAAACCAGCCCGTTCACGAAGAACGGCATGTAGCCGGTAAACGCATGCACTGCATTGCTGAGCGCAAGTACTACGAGTGGCAACATGGCGCTCCAGCGCCTCAGCGTCTCAGCGCAGACGCTGCAAAGAACGTTTCGTAGCCCGCATTGCTGGTTATGCTACACCTTGAGCCTGAAACAAATCTGAATGAACAATCAAAATCCCATGATGAGGATTTTTGGAAATCAGGGTTTGTATGCTGTACTTGACTAGCACAATCTGTAAATGAAAAACTGTAGATATTGTGAAAACAAATTTTATGTAAAAGACCAACTGTGTGTTTTTCTAATCTCGGTGTAACCTCAATTATTTTCTCACAAATTTTTACTTTAGTTCAGATTTATTCATTGTATAGTAGTGAGTATTCTCTTAAATATGCTACGCAACATATTTTATCTATATTTGCAATCATTGTCACACTTAAACCTTCGTAAAGTAGAAGCCATTTGCCAACTTTGATATGAGAAATTGAAATGTTGTGTATAGCTTTATCCATTATAGCAATCTAAAGCTTATTGCACACGATAAATCTTAAACGCTCCAAAATGATTGTGAGTAATTTGTTACATTCACGACAGACTACCATCTTCTACGCATTATTCCAGAATAGGATGAAGTCACTCATCTCTTTTACAGGGTTGAGACATAGATGAAATTGTTTTGAGCGTTTAAGTGGCTTAGTTCTTTCTTATATACTCGATCTTGTGCTTATAATTCAGTATTCCAATATTGCCAAGTTGTGGTACTTACGTTTGTAAATCAGTCGTTAGCAGCATTTCCCCGCAAACAGACGAAGACTCTTCCGCAACAACTATCTTTACTGATGCCAGGACCTCCTTTCCCTGTTCTTCTCACTGACAGAATATGATTGACAGCTCTCGGAAACCATCTGACATTACCACTACAAACGTAAAATGATGAAGCCTTAGAGATGAATCGACACTCAAAGTCTGCACCAAATTGTCATCTACATCCAGTAAGTTGGTGCAAAACAACAGCATACGGCTATACAAGAGCATCATAAAAAAAATGAGTGGCTTCGAAGCGTCGCTGCACTTGACTCGCAGCTGAAATCCTCGATTGTCAGGTGTATAAATTGGTAGTACCGAAATACGGCTGTTCAGGTAGAATTTGGCTTACCTTTGGAAGCTGGTCAATTGCAGTTTCGGTCTATCCAGATGTCAGCCGACCATCAAGCGGCCAAAACGTTTTTTACCTAGCGGTTTTGAATCTGTTTTTTGCATTGAGTTCTGCGCGTTATATCTATTCAGGCCGTCCAGAGGCATATCTAATGATTCATCCTCGAAAACGACTCCATGTAGTGTGGGGGCTTGTTTCAAGCAAGCTGAAACATACAATCGAACCTGATTGTGTGGTGCTTGAGCAGGCGAAATTGAGCCAAAGCGTTATGTAATGCATAGTAGTTTGTGCATGTTCAGATCAGCTGTTAAAAGAGCAAATATGGAGTGAGCCGACCTGACAGCTGGTGCTGGAGTGACTGACGAGTAAAACGGATCAAAGTGCACGACAAAACAGGCTTTACGAATTCATTTCTGAGATCCATTTGAACCACCTTGACGTTGATGACCTGGGGGACCAGTCTTGCCATCCTCTTTGTTCTTAAAGAAACGGCCAAACATGCTTGAACGGGTTACAGCTAGTCGTCAAACGTTTGTTCAGCTCTGACTAGAGAAATATTAATTGTTACTTCTCACGTTACTACACGTATCCCGTTCAGCAGATTACGCACACTCAGCCGTCGTCCAGATCCTTGAATTCGATGCGGACGCTATTTCTACTTTTCGAGAGTAATGGATCAAAATTCTTATAACCGGTATATTTAATCTGGTGGCTCCTCGCTGTACCGGTACAAAATGACCCACATGAAATTACAGATTTGACACCTTGCAAAAGTGTTGCTATCATCATTATCAAAAACGATGTCCCCAGAAAAGCAGAGTATAAAGGGCAAAAGCGTATCCACGAGATATGCTTAGCCGTTATGTACAACGGTGCGACGTAATTACTGTGTAGAGGAAGGTTTGACTTGACAACAACCAGTAGGCCATTTAGCCGATAGCCTATCAAATGACGAGGTATTTCTTACTCTCTGTGATATATATAAACATATATATATTGTGACGGGGTTCGGCTGGGGACAATGACGATCTTGGTCGATCGCCGTCCGGTGTATCGCGATGCCCTTCGAGCTCTTGAGGACAAAGCCCGTCGTCATCGGCACTCCAATGAGCATCTTGCCGAGGTCGCATACCGCTGTGTAGAAGAACCGAGAGCTAAGAGCACCGATAGCCTCACGTTGAGGACTACTGCGCTCTGTCGGAGCGGCTCCTAGCCGTCAAGCAGTCAAAAGCGTCACTTCGCGCGACGGTGAAAACCGTGCTCAAAAGCAATTGCTGGTTCAGCTTTTGGCGCCCAAAGGAGCTCGGCCAACGCTTCCGCGTTCACTTGCGTCGGATCCCGGTACGGCTTAAGCAAGCCCACATAATTTACCGGGTGGGTGCGCATCCTTCTCGGAAGGTTTAGCGTATATGCAAGACCTCGCTTGGCCACGACCTTGAAATTTTCGATAAACCGTGGACTGAGCTTTGTCTTAAAGACAGCAGAGACTGCATGTATAGGAAGGTTTCTAAATTTTGATAAGACCAGGTATCGGCCTCAAGGCTTTCAGCATTTCTTCTGCTTGTTCCATCTTCATATTTTCTTTGCATGTATTGGCCTTCAGCTATTGCATCGCGAACGTGTCGTAGGACACTCAATCTATGATTAATCGAAATCCTTAGGGACAGTGAGGGGCTGACATCCGTGAGCCGCTCGGCTATTCCTCCCCCACCAAGCCCTGAGCCATGATATGGTGGTGTCAGCGGGACTCGAGGATTAACAAGCCCGTTCACGTAGAACGGCGTGTAGCCGGTAGATGAATACACTGTGCGAAGTACGTCTTCAACGAAGCGACTTCCACGCTCAGTTTGACCATCACTTCTGAGTAGGCTATCAGAGTATGAAGAAACGTAGTGAAAGTTTGCTTCTGTTCATTATGACAAATGGAAATTTATTACAAGAGAAGTATGCCTATGTTGCCAAGCTAACCGGCTGCAAGCAAATCTTAGACATACCGATTTTCAGGAGCCCAAGATGGCTAAACGTCTAATACATCGAATTTAAGCGATTGGATGATATTTGGATGATAGATTTTTTGACGGAATTTATCGTATACTTGGGCGATACCAAAAATACACCATACCAAAAAATCTAGTCATTTGTGAGACCACGCTAAATAATCTCAATTGCTCAACGATATACTGAAGTCGAAAACACGATAGTTTGGACTATCTACTCAAAATCTATGCTAAATGTTCTTGTTAGGGTCGATATCTTGCTATTTACGATACTAGAACGACCTATATGAAAGATTTAAAACGCATACCTTGCTTCCCTTCTTTTCCACACTTCTTATAGGTGTGCATTAGCAACAATAAAGCTTGTAACTCTCTCCTAATTTGATGTTTGCATTATAAGCCCTCCTCGCACTGCATTGATGGCATATTGCGCTATCATAAAAATCTATTTGTTCTTTGGCGGTCTTACTGGCTTTGATAGAAAACATATTGTAGCAGCCTCCAGGAAAGTTTAGCCAGCTGTATAGTGCCAAAATTCTGCACTGTGTTTGAATTTCTGTGTTCCTCGCCGCAAGGCGGTTTTGACAATTTGTTTACGACTTAATTTTTGCGCAGCGGGGCTGCCGTAGCTACGCGCTTGAGGAAACGTACTTTAGGTCACCGACCTTTCGTTCTTTACAGGAACAGAATATGGGTTAGCGGATCGCAATCCGCTTACTCCAAGAGTAATTATTGCCTTCTCAAGGCTGATTGACTCTTCGGTTTGAATTCAAAACTGATTTTTATTATTATTTTTTCTTAGTTTTAAAAGTTTAGATTTTCCTAAATATACTTAATATATATAGTAAGATTAAGATCTAAATACCTGCATAACTACTGGCTACCTAGCCCCATACCGTATTCTTGTTTGGGTGTGGTCACACCATGCACATCTCGTGTGACACACACCCC